GAGGGGAAGGTAGTGTTTGCATTATGCACAATCGTTGCAATGTCTCTATCACTAAGAAGTGGAGGCATTACAAAGAAATGATGGTAACATGAAGCCTGTTTCTTGTCACTGGGTTTGCTGATCAATGGTTTTCCAGACAGAGGTTTTATCTCAGACTGTTCCTTTCCTTGTATGGCCTTGTGTTTCGCCTCTTTCCTCAAGTTTAAATTTCTTGCGGGGAAGTTTTGCATAGAAGGAGGATCCGAGGAAGTATTGATGTCGAAATTTCGAATCATTGGCCTTTTTCGAGGGTACGTGAGTTGTTTTAAACGTTCCATGGCGTTGATGAGATTGTGCTGTTCACGGTGAATAAGTTCGTCCTGAAGCTTGCGAATTTGCACAAAATAGTGGGCTTGTTTCTCGTTGCCAGTCTTTGTGTCTTGAAACCATGACTTGTCCATTGCCGGGCTGTTGTTGTGTTTCGTGGAAGAAGACATGTTAGCGATGCAAAGTTCAGAAAGTTGAATTTGCTTACAAATTTGTTGCAGTAGTTAACTCTCGCTGTGCTTCAGCTTTCCATAGTTCCTTTAAAAAGTCTTTTAAGAATTCAATCTTGATAAACAAATTTTCAATTTACATCTCAATATAAACCTTGGATTGTTTATCCTTCTCGCGAGGAGACTTTTTCAACTTTCCAACATGGCCGACTTACTTGATCTGTTGCTATAGAAACGTAGACTTGTTTCTTTCGAAGCGCGAAATGACTCTGGGATAGCTTGCAAAATGGCGGCGAAAAGGGCAAACTATAAACTGTTGACATTTCTCTCTGGAAATCATTGTTTATCATCGTCTTGCACACATCGGTTAATTTTCAGGAACCATTGTCTCCATTAAGATCCAAGAAACAATACTAAAAGTTTGCAGGTTAACGGCTGGCCAAAGCAAAAACTTCCAAGATGACGGCGGGAATGATCAGAGTGCCTAGCATTATGCCGTTGCGAGTTCCAGTGGGAGGAAGAAAGAACATAATAGACACTCACACGCCCATCGAGCTGCGATCAGAAACTCCAGATACTTTGATTTATTACACAATCAACGGAATGAAGCCTGAACCTTTTAAACAAATTGGCATAAAGTGCACCTACAAGTATAACAGGCCTTTTGTTTTAGGGCAAGGTAAACGAACCGTGAAAGCTTTAGCGACCTCGAGCGATGGAACAAGGGAAAGTTCCATTGTAACTAAGACATTCATGGTGGAAGAACGAGAAGGGAAAGAGGCATTAGATGCCGAGGACAATGTCTCCGAGCTTCAACAAAGCATGTCTTCATCCACTGGGAATTTAAGGGAATCATCTGGGACTTTGTTTGGGCAAATTCTTGAGAACGCCAAAGGTTCCAAACTGAAAACTTCAGAGGCCTGGGGGACAGATGGTAGCTCTAAGCGATTTCTTACATCAACACCTGATGAGTGGGAAAATGTTAGAGGATCTGATTTCAGGAAACCCCGGAGTGAGGCAAGGTTTACAGCATCAAGGTTTGGTTCAGATCAAGCAACATTAGGTACGCCAGATCAGTCTCTTAGTCAGGTTGATGGGGTGTTGAAGGACAGACGAGGTCCTGAGAACAGGATTCAAGCAAGCAAGATTCAGCAGCAGACAGATTTTTTGAAGTGCATCTACTGTCTAGCACCCAGGCCATCTGATCCTTATGCAAGATTCTGCTCTGAATGTGGGTCTCCCATTCCACCATTGCCGTCATCAAGACTTCCACCCCCTGAGGGTGGGCAGCTTGGTATGTGCGTCTCCTGTCACTCAATGGTGCCACTGAACACTCCTACTTGCATCATTTGCGAAGCACCTCTTTCACCTCAGCGTCAACCACAAGCCACCAAGAAATTAGCGCAAAAGTTGATGTGTAGAGTATGTGGTACAGGGAATCCACCTGACTTGAAAGTTTGTGTTACCTGTGAAGCCAAGCTTCCATACAACGCAAAACAAATATTTACTGGCACAAGTGCTCCCCCAATGCCTAAGGACTCTATTAGCAGCCTCATGACATGCTCCAAGTGTTCACGTGTAAACAGCAGTGATGCCCGTTTCTGTGACTGGTGTGGATCAAAACCTCAACCTTACCAAAGTCCCCTCATCTGCTCTCAGTGCCAGGCATCAAACAGTCCTTTTGCCAGGTTCTGTAATACATGTGGATGTACTATTGAACCGCCGCCAAGGATATCACGGCAAAGTCCAGGAAGTGTGATTGGAACAGTTGTTGAAAGAGGCAACATTCGTGACACAGTGGGTAGATTGGAAAGTGCAACTTGGTTGCCAGTTTCTATCCCTTCGACTCCAGCAGAAACAGCAGATAAAGGTAATAATAATTATTACTACATGACTAAGTTAGTTCAGAGGACCAATAACTAAAAATAAACCAATCAGATTGCTCCATTGCTGGTCCAATGTTCTCTAAGTATTGGACCAGCCACTGTCCCAAATGATCCTGCAAGATCACTTTCAAAGAATTTGGGTAATTTCACTTTGTGTGACAAATCTCTTATCAACCAAGTTTGCTTGGTACTGTACAGGGAGAATATCGGCTCTCATTCTCGCAGTGCTCAGTCCATACTGTCAAGACCTTGGGCCAATATTCTCCCAGTATGTCCCTTGTGCTTGGTTAATAAGATATGTTTATCAGCATCAAATCTAGCTAAAGTGGTTCTGTCCAAAATGTTGATGGTTTTGTACAGTACTATTAAGTGCCAACTAACATTAACCATGTGACTGTGAGTTTTGAAATTGCTTGCCCTCTTTATGGAACACAGATTGCCCTTGAAGTCAGTATGCATGTGTCAAGTCATACATATGAGCTGATATCAAGAAATTGTTTTTTTCCCTTATGTACAGCAACTTCTACAGTAGGCCTGTTCTTTCCCTCAGCAACTAGTATCCAATCCCAAATTGAGATGGATGCTCATGAGCGAACTCGCCTTGAAGCTTCAAGAGACCGTCGACCAGCACTTGCAGCTGTTAGTCCTGGTAAAGGTTTCTGGCGCCAACAGATGGACCATGTATGTTCGCACCTTCGCGCACATGCACAAAACAATCCAGACTTCAGATCTACCATTGGTGAACCAAGACTGGGGAAAATAATCACTGCGACTATTCATGAAGACCTCAATGGCGAAGAGGTCACGTTAACTGTGACCTTTGCCAGGAGAGATGGCAAGGAAATGTGGAAAGAAAAATCGAAAGCCATTTCTTCAAGTTTGAGGGCATTCAATCTGTCAGGGAGCAAGGAAGAGTTAAGAGCAAACAGAAAACAAACCCAAAATGGTTTGAGAACAACAGCTAAGGGAAAGAAACAGAAAAGAAAAGGAAAAGAGACTGATAAAGTTAAACTTAGTGAACAGGACAAGTTGTTACTCAAGGAGATTGGGCCTAAAGGTGAAGGTAGAGATGAAGAAGTACGAAGACTGCTTGATGAGGGAGTGAATCCAGAATGTGAATCATCTGATGGCATCCCAGCCATCATTCTTGCAACTGTGAATAAGCATGCAGAAAGTATTCCACCACTAGTGAACGCAGGTGCAAAACTCAACACTAAGAGTGTTGCCAAAGGAAATACAGCTCTACATGAAGCAGTTCTTCAAGGTGCAGATGGACTCAAATGCATTGATGCACTGTTAGGGTTAGGTGCACGGACCAATGTTGCAAATGACGCTGGTCAAACTGCTTATGATCTAGCAATGTCCTCAGGTCTTGATAGTGTTACACAGAGGTTTACATCAAGTGTAGGGGATGAAATGTTGCAGAAGCTTACTAAACCAAAGAAAGTTAGGTCTTTGGATGAGGAGTTCTAACCATGGCATACTAACATATAAGCTTCATTCCAAAATGTATTTACTTTGAAGGGTTACCAATCTACAGAGCAGAATTTTTCCTGAAAATTATAGATCTTAGTTTAATGTGCCCTCCATCATTCAGCACTTTCTCACCAGCTGTGGGTTGTCCAAACAATCCTACCTGTGCTACTGAAAGCCTGTGCCTAGTTTCTCATAGTTACTGTGGATTCAACAATAATGGCTGGCTCCCATAGTTGCATGACTGTAGAATATTGCGCATTATTTATTGTTTCAGAGTATACAAGAAAAAACACTAAAAGGAAGAATATGAAAATGCCATAGTTTTGCAACAAATATTTATTTATTGACATGAATCACAATGATTATTGCTGTCATTCATTGGCAAAATCTCAGGGCAGGCATCAGACATAAACAGTATTAAATGGTATTTAATTGGTATAAGTGGCATAGCTTGATGCAGATTGCAAGTGACTGCAAATATACTAGTAATACTTAACTATGTCAATCTTAGTTGGATTAAAGAGATTTTTGAACTCAGTCAGTAGATACAGGCTGTTTTATTTACATCATGTAACATTTTCCCATACCATCACCACTGCCAACACTCAATTATGGGTAATCAAAATGGTGATGAGTGAAATAATACTCCCTTTGCAGCTGGGATCATGTGACCAAATTTGTCCAAAAAAATTATGGGCTATACTATATTATGGGCTATAACTTAAAGAACACCAGAGATGGAAAGAGGGTATCGAAAATACCAAAATGGCCAAGTTTGAGGCCCCTGGCATTAAAGAGTAAGTTTATATGACGGTTTGAATTTTCCGAAATTTAGAGGATTTGTATGGAAAATGTTCCTGGAGAGTAAGGCCATGCTCTCCAACAACTTGTTCCATACAAATCTTATTTAAAAGAAAAAAAAATTCAGACCATCATAAAATCTCATTCTTTTATGACAGGAGCCTCAAACTTGGCAATTTTGATACTTTAGACATGCTTTTTCTATTTCTGGCTTTCGTTAAGTTTTAGTCCATGAGTTTATGAAAGTAGGTCACGTGATGGCTTTAATAGCTGCAAAGGGCCTATTTACGAAATAATTTTATGTGTGCGTTTTCAAAATTCTTATAATTTCCCAAGCCTTTAGGTGAAGGTAATAATTTTATTAGAATTTTGGCAAAACGCAAGTGAAATTCTTTCCTATTTTCCAGAGTATGCCATTTGATATTTACCCATTAATATCATAGATGACAGATTATGCTTACAATTGTGAGGTTTTTTACGTGTTTAGAGGAATTTTGTGTTAAATTTGTTGCCATGGCAATTTCATAATTCAAATTTTGCTGAAATTTCGCACCAAAATTAGGGAGTAATGTTTTCACCCATGATATTATTGAATTGTCTTACTTTGGGCTTAATACAAGTTACTTTCTGATTAATTTTAGTGTTCTTGTCAAGTCTGTCTGTTTTTCAGCATTGTGGTTGGGTGCTGTTATCTGTAAATCAAATTTCTGCAATTTTAACTCCTACCCGTGATTTAATGCATCAGCTGTCATGTTTCCACAGACCACAACATATTTTCTTAACCATTGCACTCTCAACTGATTGGAGGATGTGAAAGTATTGATATGTGGAATGTATCTCTATACATAGGCGAAAAGTGAGCACCTAAATTTTTGTGTAGACGTGAAATAATTTTGGTTATGTGTGACATGCCCATGGAATGGCAAAATATTTTTTATTTGATTGAAAGCAACTTCTGGATTTGCAAAGAAAAGCTGGAAAAACATCTTATTTCTGGTTCTCTTTCTTTGCAGCTGCAAATTTGCTGCATATGATACTTCTCTTTCAGTTTCAGTCTTTGATAAAAAAGTTTTCCATATACGTACCAGGACAAAATGTGTTCTCATATATGACATACCTCCCATAGATCTTCGGGCAAATCAAAATAATCGCGGGCTCCGAATACGGAAGTTGGCGCGGTTCCTGAGTGCTTCCTTGGTAACCAGACTCCCACACCAATAAAATATGTAAAATGCTACTTTGTAGCATTGCGGAAAAGTAATGATTTCAACTCTGATAGGGTTAGGAGGCACTGCTGTTAGTTTCTAAATTTGAAAACTTGAACATCAATGGATGAAAATAAAGGTAGTTCTACTGGAGAGGTAAAATGGACTCTTGGGGAATCGCCGAAGAAAGATGCCGGACCGAAATATTCGCGCATTTCTGAGCACTTTCGGCATGTCGCACCGGGTGCCCTCCAATGCTCGATGTTTTGTGGCGGAAAGCAGTGCAAGTATGAAAACCCTGCCAAGATGAAAAGGAAAGAAATGGCGATCAACGGACTATATTCTTCATGGGTTACCCCAGATATCTTGGCGACTGCTCGGCCCTCCACAGAAGTTATCAAGAAATTTGACGTCATCGGACAATTTTCCCAAACGGGAATTAAATCGCTTATTAACTTACAGCATCCAGGAGAGCATAGCAGCTGCGGCTTTGGTCTTGAGCCTGTTAGTGGCTTTTCTTACGTTCCAGAAGACTTCATGAAAGAAGACATTTTCTTCTACAATTTTGGATGGAATGATTATGGTGTTCGATCTTTGGAGTCCATTCTCGATATGGTTAAGGTTATGTCATTTGCTCTGAAGGAAGGAAAGGCTGCTGTTCATTGTCATGCTGGGCTTGGCAGAACTGGAGTTCTCATAGCTTGTTATCTGGTGTTTTCCGAGAGAATCGGAGCCGAGGAAGCTATACACAAAGTTCGGTCAAACAGACCTAAAGCTGTACAGACTCGAGGCCAGATTCAATGTGTCATTGACTTCACTAACTTTCTACATCATCTTTGGATTGTCTACTCGTCCTGTGCTTCCAGTGCGAATCCATTTACATTACAACAGTACCTCAAACGTCAGAGGCTTGTTTTGCATGGTATGGAGGCTCGAATGCTCAAACATGTCCCCAAACTGGTTTACGTCTGTTGCTGTCGACTATTAGAAGTCGCAGGTGTGAAAGGGGAAAATGATCCCTTAACATGGGCTCTCTCCCAGGAAGTGAAAGCCGTGTTTGCAGAAGTGGATGAAAGTGATATTAGTAAGGATGGAGAAAGTGTAAACGATACAGAATGTCTTCAAACATCTCTGTCAGACAATGTTGCACATTCCTTGCGACATAACCCTTATGTAGATTCTTGTCTTCCACCGTTGGAATCTTCACAAGTTCATCGTACTGAAAGCTGTGATGTGTTTGAAGAAGATACTGCAAAGAAGGATCACTTTGATCATTATGGGGAAGGCTCATTGGATGGTGGACTGCTGCAACCCCCTGAGGTAGGAGCTGATGTAAGGCGTGGTTCTGAGCCAGTGGTGATACATTCTAGTCCAAGAACGTTTCATCGTGTGAAACTGGAACCACTTAATCTGTCAGGCAGAAAGAAAAAAACAGAGAAAAAAAGAAAAGTGAAAAAGACACGGGGTGAAAGTCTGGAAGCCAAAAGTAACAACACAGCAGAAAAAGGTATCAGTAGTGTCCTTTCCTCTTTGAAGCAAAATGAGAGACTTTCAACAACAAATGACAGAATCCAAGTGGCAAAGTCTCTGGCATCAAGTGCCTGTGCTGATAGCAGCGTTCACAGTCGAACAGAGAGAATCAAGCGAAAACTCAACAATTCAGACAGCTGGGAGGAAGTTCACACTGAAAGTGATCCCTGGGTTCTAACTCGGTTGTTGTGGGCTTGGTTGGGAAGCTTAGTGGAACCTGTTCTCAGTGAGAAAGAAGTGTCACTATTAGAAGAAAATATTGATGACCCGGTTGAAGGGGTGAAGAAGCTACAACGAGGTGACCGAGATACTTTGGAATGCCTGGTAACTACCGTATGTGAGTTGGAACCCTTACCAGAGGAAGTGGGTGACCGAGTGCTTCGTCAAATTGCCATGATCCTCACTCAGGACAAGAAGTTGTCTTTAACTCAACCCAGAGCTGTCCTTAACAGATCAGTGTCATCCTCAGATGATGCTGTCGAAAATGCTTTAGAGAGAGAACAGGGGGTCAATACTCCAGAGCCTGAGGTGCACTCTCCATCTTACCGATTGCTTCTATTCCTGAGAGAGCTTGTGAAGACGCTAAAACATTTAGCAGGGATACTACCAAAATGAAGGACATTAACAATGATTTATTTATTAATATTTAATAATCAAAATACCATTCTTGTCCCCAGAGCCCACAATCCTTCTGGCCTGCAGCAGGGATCAAGGGCTCTGGCTGGACCCGATTTTCTGAGCATGCGCAGAGTATTCATTTCGTATTCTCAGCCAATCAGATTTGCTAGATTTGACGGGAAGTCTGTGAATTGTGGACTTCTGTTGTTGGACCAGCCCAGAGCTCTTGATCCTTTCTGCAGGCCAGAAGGATCGTGGGCTCTGAGGACGAGAATGTCAAAATACATGTACAATATTCTCCTCAACCAGTGTGTCACTGGTGACAGAAAGTCACAATTAACTGAGATCAAGAGATAATAATGTTTACTGTATAACAACAAGGGATATTCCATGCCTTGGAGGACACAGAAAAAAGCCTGTTCTAAGCATTTGTTTGGTTGGGTAGCAGTGAAGAATGGCGAATGAAAAAAAGTAGTAAGGTTAGATGAAAAGATGACTTTTTCCCATAAGTTTTTTTTTTTGTACTGCTCCATTATGTGAGCTGAATGCTAAGAGGAGGCTAGATTGAAAACATATTAAAAAGTCTCTTTTCATGTAGATAAATTGTTTAACTGGAAATGAAACTAAGTTTGTTGGGTGCACCTTGGATTAAATATTGGCTACCAGATACAAGACCCCACAAGTCATGCCATCAAGTGTGGCCAATGAAAGTGGAGCATGCTACTCCATACCCAGCTATAGTAGTGACAAAGGCTTAGCTGGTGTCAGAGTGCTACTTAGCCTGGTATGTATAATTTTTACATGAAAGAGATAGGGGTGCATCCACACAACTGAATACAAAATTAAGAATTACAGTAACGCAAAATGCTGCACACAGAGATAATACCCAAACACCAAACAAAGGCATCATACACACACGTGCGTAGCTCTAGAAATCTAACAATAGTGATATACCGATATTTATAAATACATTTATTGTTAAATAATTAGGTCAGCTGGTATGACAGAATTCTTCCTACAACATTGTTGTGAATTTTTTAATCTGAAAGGGAGATATCTCACCCTATGCTTGTATACACCTTTTAAAGCTAGTCTGTAGTACTATCAATATATATTATACCAAAGGTTGGCAGTCATATAACAAAACAAGTTACTAAAATATACTCAATTTTTTTCTTTGATTTGATTTATGAAACTTCCTCTGGAAAATGTGGGGAAAAGCATTTCCAAGCCTCTAAAAGTAGAAATTTCCCAGGGGCGAACATTAACTTTCTTCTAAGTTCATATTCCATGAAAATAATGTATGCCACTCCCTGTAATGTATAACTTTGAATTCTTATTACAACATAATTTTATTACTGCAACATAATTTATTACATAAATTTATTTATTATGTAATTTATTACGTATTGCAACATATTTTTACTTAATTTCTTATGCATGTCTGGTAAAGAAACTTGCAACTTTTGGACCAAGGTGTAAATTTGTATGAATTACACAATGTTGAAAGTATATTCTTATTTAGCACAACTCGCAAAGGTGTACAGTTCATGATGCTAAACTGAAAGTGACTCTTGCATGAGTTCAAGTGATAATATCCACTTGTACATAGACCATCATGTGAGCTGTCATTGTTGCATGAATAAAGATGTTTCGTACAGAGTTGCTTTTCACTGTTCTATTTAGCAAATAAAATACCAGAAAATATAGAAGGGCCACAGCCAGGATGAAACATGGTGAAATATAACGTCTTCTAGCTAAAAGTATGTAGAACACAAGCTTTTGACTTGCTTGTTATAAAGACAGGAATAGCCCAGGCTCACAGTATGACTTTATATAATATGTCAAATTATTCTCCCATTTTGATTGGCTCTGATCTATGATCAATTGGGGGACAGACATGTAGATGATATCATTTATTTTGTTTGTTTCTTTATTAATTTATTATACAAAACAAACAGATTCAAATTGCTGTGCATCTTCAATAATTTTAGCTAATTTTCACAGAACACGTAAGAACATCAGTGATGAGTGGCTCACCTACCGTAAAATCCTATGACACTTTTTTCTACCACATTTTGATGTCATCTGTCATCAATTATTGACCAGATGCACCACAACATGGCTAGAACAGCAAAATGTAATAAGTGGTACTTTATCTCTTGAATAGGCATCTAAACAATACCTGATTGTTACCTACCTGGCCAAGGCAAAAAAAAACCGACAAAAACACGTTGTTGGGCTTCATAACCATTCCTCTCTCTTAACTAAGGTTTGATTTGGCCAGTGTTACATGAGTAGGACCTGGGAGCAAATTGCTAAACTCATTTCTGTTGGTTACTGGACCCCACTAATTCAGACTTGCTGGGTTATTTCAAACTCCCTGTCATAGTGAACTGAAATCCATTTCTTCCTTCTGATTTTCACTAGCTATTATTGTCAGCAATTTTGAATTGGATAATTTTGAACTGGCCCACCATTTTGAACTTTTCTTTCCTTGGAGTTTGAAATAGCAGAGCCCAGCTACATGTCCATAGTCTAATAAATCAGCATAAAACTGATCATCCTACCACTTTGGAACTTGACCGTGGCTTTCAAAACTCAGATCATTCATCAAGCTTGAATAATTACAACAGGGTGGGGTGGGAAGAAACCGTTCATAACCAAATCGAATGGTATTCGATTTTTAAACTTTGGGTACTTTTCGTCAACTTTCTCAAATTCTCTATAACTGCTGTTTACTGACGTGCTCTTACATCAAACATGTGATTAGCCAGAGTTCTTTGATGATTTTCCTTATAATGTTGTTTGAAACTTTCCAAACTTTTAAACGGGGTTCTTATTCGGAATGTAGTCCTTCGCAGAAGGGGATGGCTCCTCTCAAAGTATTTCCATTCGCCACGAACGTTTTGGAAAAAAAGACAAAAGACGAGTCGTAAAATGTCTGTAAAGGAAGTTGGAGAGGAAAAATTGCTTGACGTGCTTGAGTACACAATGCATACTGGGTGGGTAGGACTCTTTCCTGCATCGTACCCAGGGGCCTCTTTTTCTAGGTCGGAGCTTTCAGTTTTCGTAGGTGCACGTGAACGTGGAAAGGGCGGTGTCCTTGATCCTTTGCGCTTGGTCGAAAATACCAAAAGCCGCCTCTGCACGAGATTAAAGGGGCGGCGCCTGTTACTGAACTAAGTAGGAAATTTTTTTTCAATAAAAGACAACTCCTCTTTTTAGTTCACTGAAGATAGCAACAACAGTCAAAACCACTCAGTGTAAAGCATCAAATGTCGGCCACGGTCTCTTTCCTGACTGGAGTCAAGACGCTACTTCACCTCTCCAGAGATTAAGCTGATACAAGTGCTTCGATCAAAAGGCATCGCGTTGTTAGGGCGTCGATTATTAATGTACGGCGCCTATTCGAGTAAATAACCTGACTATGGTATTCTTTTTTTGAGGTGGTCAAATGTAGATAGGACAGGAAGGTTACTTTTAATATCTTAAAATTAAAACAAAGACAAGCAAATTCTGTACTCGCATATGATCATGTTTGTAAACGATGCAGTTAAAATGGCAGGTTTATTCAGGCCCCGTGCACACTACGCAGGAGGAATTTGAAAACGCAGCTTTATTTCTCTGGTTAGGCCTACCGTCCACACTTGTCCGTCACGAAAACGGAGCTTTTCGAAATCGGAGGAATTTGGAAACGTCATTTTAGTGTGGACGGAAAACATTTTGAAAACGAAGCTTTCCAAAACCGATGACGCTAAAATAATCATATTCTTCTGCCGGCCGAGTTTTACTGAAATAATAATGCACAATGACCGGTGATTGTTACGTTTTTAAATACCTCCGGCGTAGTGTAGACGGAAAACATTTGATGCGTTTTCAGGGCGAAATCGCCGTTTTCAAACTCCTCCAGCGTAGTGTGAACGCCCAGACTTGTACCATTACGAGTCTTACAATACTTCGATGTGAACCTGTGCGTAGCTTGAACAGCATATCTAGTTCCTCTAAAAAGCCAACTGATTTGTCAAGTCTCTCGCAGACGATAGTCTGACAAAGAGAGCTAGTCGGAGTGGGTTGCGGTTTCGTTCGTTAAACCCAAGCCGTTAATAATATATCGTCATCAATATTTGTATTCGCAGGGACCTCAACCAACTCGAGACGGCCACAGGACACCCGGCAAGTTTTCTGATCATCTTTGGTGAATGTGGAGATTTTCCGTTTCACAGTGTTACTCACTTTAACTCGGACAAGTTCCAGTTCACTTAGATCCATGTATTCGGAGATTTTCCGTCCTCCATTGAAACCCAGATTGTCGAAGGAGGTTTCTGTGTTGCTTTGGGCGACAACAAGGCCGTCTGTTTTGCGACTAGAATTAAAATAAAATCAAATTTAAAATAATAGGTGACGTTTATATAGGAGACCAAGGCATAATATTCGCATATTCAAATGAGACCTTAAAAATAATAGTTTCTATGGAATTTCGAACTAAAACCTCTTGCATAAATGAAAGTGAAAATCACTGTGGTCCTGTCCACACTATGACTGAGAAATTCGAAAAGCAGCTTTATTTCTATGGTTAGGCCTACCGTCCACACTAATCCGTTGCGAAAAGGGAGCTTTTCGAAAACGTTCTAATTCAACTGAACCGGAGGAATTTGAAAACGGTTTTGCGTTTAAGTGTGGAACATTTTGAAAACGGAGCTTTTCGAAAATGATGAAGTCACGGTAATGATGTGATTTCTTGACCGAGGTTTCCTCAACATAAATCCAAAACGAACGGCGACTGTTACGTTTTCAAATTCCTCCAGCGTAGTGTCACGGACGGGGCCTGAAGAACATGCCCAGTTCTAATAAAGCTTCGATCGAGGGTCTTGAGAATCCTGTACAGTATAGAGAATCATTTACTATACAGTACCCTGGGAAAAGGTTGAAAATGCGATACCCGGATTGATGGAAGGAATTCAAAGTAGCATATATGTTTTCTTGCTAATTCCTCAAAGAAACAAGGTAGGTGTGATTGCATTCCACATGAACGTTGCTACTGTTATCTAATTGTCAGGAAGACAAGGTAGAGTGGGGATAAAAGCCGTTCTGGGGTGAACATTGAGCAATCTTTGAAACAAGTCAAACGCTACAAGCCTGAATTATATCAACTCTTCTACTTGCTTTGGTAACCAGAAAAGAAAACAGGCTGTATTGACCAAAAATCGCTCATATTGCTTAGAGGCACGATGTAAAGATTGTTAATCAGCATCAGACAAAGTTTTGTCAGCTTTATTTAGTGATTTTAAACTTTAATTCACAGCAAGAAGTTTCAGTTTGAAATTCCATACAGATTTTTAAATATATACATATATTTTAAAATTTCATTATGACTGCAATGTTATTGCTAACGATAGGGAAGAAACCTTTCCCCCACAAACATCATCTGTGCAGTCATTCGTGCAGGAAAGTTTCGATTGTCCAGTCACAAAGGAACAGCCTAACCAATAGGAAAGCTGTGACGTCATGTTACTAGGCAACTTCTGGAGCGAAAATCGCGGGCTCAGTCTCTTAGCACAGCAAAGCATAACGATCATTATGTGTGATTTTACGACCATTAAACAGCTGAAATGGAAAGGGGGGACTGGGCCTGAAAAATCACAAGGGCTTACCGTTTAAAAATCACCGCCAACAGAAGTAAACCAATCAAAATCAAGAGTGTCAATCCTCCGGCCACTACTCCAGCCAATAGTTCATTTGATAAACCTGCAGGGAAGCCATCAACAGATGGATGAGAGGTTTTGTAGTCAGACATTAATCCTTTCCTATCTAGGAACTATTGTAACAAAGGCGAGGCGTAACTCGCGGCCTGGATATGTCGTATGCTCAATCTAGTAATCAAGCAAGCAGGCAAGAGGTAAGTACAAACTGTCAATTTATTTGTCTTCAGTTCGAAACTAATTCTCTACAAAAAGAAGTTGAAAGTCATTACATAGAATTTACATTTGATCATCGACTATGTGTAATGTTACTAATGATTTAAAAACTTTAGTAGAATTAAAAAGTTACCGCGGAGAACATTTATATTCCAATCATTTTTGCGTCGAGCTCCAAATACAACTCTTCACAGCAACAATATTAATATTAATAAAATATAACATTCTGAAATGCCTCAGCGAATTATCTGGGGTCCAAAATACCTCATACAAATTCGTCATAGTAGACAACATGAATTTCTCTCCCACTTTCTAAATTTCCTTGAACTTGTTTAAAGTTAACCCAAAAAAACAACACTAAAAAACATTAAAATAACGATAAAAAAGGTATTGAAAATTTGAAGAATTTAAGACATGTTAAGACATCAGTAAGACATGATGTTTTCAAGCTCAAATCATGAACGAAACAAAAACATACAGAGATGGTTCAGCCTGTAAAGTTAAGTTCAAGAATGATCGTGCAACACCAACACGTTGTCAGGGCAAAGATCGTCAAACGAGAGGAGAGAAAAAGCGATAAAGTTGCCTGCGAGACTTGTGAGTGTCCTGTGATAGGCGAGTACCCCCTTCCCGTGATTTGCGCATTATTCATTTGATAATCAGCCGCATCGCTGTGAAACCGAAAACGGTAATTGGGTCAGATAATTGCTTTAACATGTGTTAACAAGCTTAGAGGGTTGGATTGCGGTAATAAAAACACTCTCTTGTTGCTCCAAATCCCTAATTTCCGCTTGTAAGCAAAATCGTTTCCGACACAACAGGCAGACATATTTTCGCGACACGTTTATCTCGTGATTTTGAGGCGCGCATATTTCGCGACACTTAAATTCCGCGATTTTGCGAAAATTTTGTATTTTGAATCACTTTAACTTAACGTTTTTGAGTAGCACACAATTTATTTCCTTGGCAACGTTACTTCAACATGTCCTTGAATTCAGTAAACCGTCAAAGGTATGCAATAACGTCAAAATTAACAAAAACACAATACTAGAAATATATGAGGAATGAAAAACTTTTGACAGGACGATGTATTTTAAGAATCGTTATTTCACTGAATAAACAATACTTTAATAAAAATACTAAAGCGTGTTGAGACTGTTTAGTGTAATATTCATGACCAAGATGTACATAGATTACCTTGTCTATGCCGCGCAGGAGATTCCCGCGACGTCGGTTGATAAATTGTTGAGGAGGAAGGAATTATTGGGGCACTTGTAGAGGTGAGCTTCGTACTGTAATATAAAGAATTGACAGAACCTTTGCTTTCAGGCGTCGAGATAAGTTCTTTGAAAGAGTTAAGTCCGTTATTCCAATGATGTGCAATAGAACTTGCTTGGTAAATGCTTGTAGTTGGCTCTACTGTGGCATGTTTTGTAAAACCTAACATGCTCGTAGTTAAGGGTGTTGTTGTTATACGCACATTGCTTGTTTGTCCTCGTGGGACGTGTGTACTTGTTTCTTGCCTCGTCGATCCAATCCCCGCAATTGGACTCGGACGTAATCCCTTAGCTGTCTCAGATCCACGTTTCATTTCTATTGAGTTTGTTTTTCACCGAAGATGCGAAGCAAGTGAAATATTCCGATGTTTCTGTTGTTGCTTCAGTCACTTAGATGCGCTATGAGAGGATTTTTCGCCTCTGTCAAGCTGTATAAATCCTCTACTTATGGTAAAATGATTAATACATCTCAGTAGGCCTTCAAATTAGCTTTGTGTTTGGGGACGGCGCGTAAATCTTGACACCTTAGTTTAGCCCGCTCGGCTAGAAGATTATAATGAAAATCTTGATGTGTCGTACTTGGTATTTTGTTGAAACAGCGTATGACCTCAGTCTCCAAAGGTTTGCGATAAGAAATGCTTTTATGAGCTATCTAATCTCTTCTTTGACAATCAAACTAATGAACTGTCCTGAAATGTCAACAAAAACAGGGATGAAACAATGCAAGTCAACAAAGCATTCATTTGATTATTAAAGTGCTGGGAATAATTAATTCGCAAGGGTGATCTAAGACTCAAAGTGTCAATAATGCGTGAAGAAGCTGTGAAATACTGCCAAAGAGCTTTACAAAAAATCTGTTATTAGCCAGCGGGCAAACCCCGGGGGGTACTTCCATATATAAGCTAATATGGGTATGTGCCGCTGTGAAGGGTATGGTTTTGAGGAACCTTAGTCTAGGATAGGGTATAGAAATCAGACAATTTTGGTCTAGAAAAGGGTATAATTCACCAGAAAAGTGGCCAGTGTATAAATAATTGTGTCTAGAACAGGGTTGTTTACCCGGAGTGCTATAATTGAAATTATTGAAAATCGACAGTGGCTTTGTAAGATATTGGTTTTAAGCCGTGATCATCACGTATGTTGGGCTACGATAGTGGTAATTAAAGGCTTCTGAACTGAGGATAGCTAGTCTGGTATAGGGTAGAGGTTTTGGTGTCTAGTCTAGAATAGGGTTGCAAAATCAAGCTGATCATGGTCTAGTATGGGGCAAGGATTTCAGTGCCCCCGCGGCACACTCCTACCCACAGATTTACCGATTACCCCGTTCCCCAGAGGATTAGGCGCGGAGAACATGATTGACTAACCCATTGACACTCCCAATATACAATAGTTACACAGATGTAATGTTTCCGTGGCTGATCAGCGAATAAAAAGTAAACTTGTTCTTAAACCGCTAAAGCAACTCCAACGTCGAAATAAATTGCCGCACTTTTTGTAAGAAGCTGGAAGAGCAAGGTCACTGGTCGCTGGCTTGGAAAGATCCTTGTATTGCTTGGCATCAGGGCGTGCTGCCAAAAACTCAAATCCCTTAAAGCCAAGTCTCAAAGGATTATCGCAACCTTGGATTAGAGTCAACAGAACTAGGGCCGGCAAAGAGTACTTCACGATTCTCTTCCTCCTTATTTTTATCGCAAGCAGGATTTCTTCCAACGCCATGTCGGTTCCATGTTCTTTTTGGATGTGCTGTTGAATGCATTTAAAGAAACAGGCCTGTCCTGCGTAGCACTGGTGTTTTTGTCATCAAAATCAACACCACAAACGTTCACTTCTGAATCATGTTCATTGCTGTGGTTAACGTGGAACGATTTTTCATTCTCGACTTTCTGTTCCTGTTCTCCGCGTTCTTGTCCATTTCTCGGCCCCACAACATTGTTTCGTGATCCAACCATTCCTGCCGCTACTTGAGAACTTTTTCTTAAAGGGAATTCAATAAATGCAACTCGAAACTGCTTCTTCCTTACTGTGTAAATAAGTGGGTTAACAACTGAACTGGTCATCATCGGCACAAGACCAAGATGACGAACTAATGTTTTAACATCAAGCGAAAATGTTTCGCTAAAAATATGCCATATGAGAAACAGGATAAACGATGGCAAAGCAAAACACAGAAAAATCGTCACTAGAATTATCGTGGTTAGTTTTAAGGCTTTCTTCTCCCGTTTAAATTTTGCTCTGGCCTACACGGAAACTTGCTGTGAAAGAGTTTGTTTCTCGTGTCGACAGGCTTCCTCGTAGACAAAAGTTTGAAGCAAGGCGATTGCAGAAATGAGTATTGCGATGTAAATAGATGAAAGGACTGTTAAATAAAAAATAACAAGAAAAAAGACGACGGCTGCAATCCACGCCAAAGCAGAGGATATGGTAAGGCGAGCTCTGGTGACGACTGTAGCGTGGGTGAAGGTATGTTTAATGGCAAGATATCGCTCTCCCGGCGCTGATTAAAAGCAAATGACAAATTCTCGTGAAGGTGAATACCACAAAGAAGACTGTAAATGCTAACTCAATATCACAAAATTCGTGGGCACCTTTCCCTTGTAAAAGGAAAATAGTCTTGGTTATATGAAGGGGCTGCAGAACAAGCCCAGCCATCAAATCGGTAAGCGCCAAACAAGCCAACAGAATGTTAGGGTGTGTTTGAAGTCGTCGTTTGGTTTTCACGGCAACCATAATCAAGGCATTCAACAAAGTAGTAAAAGGACAAGCGGCCAAGTTTATAACAACTGCTGTGACAGGCAAACCATAAAATGAATCGGCAGAAGAATATCGCAAAGGAACAGTTTTTAAGAGAAAGCTCATACACTCACTTTCATTACCAAACCATGAATCAGTTTCCCTTCTGATGGATGATGAAAACATTTGAGAGAGATTCATCGACGGTTTTTCGAACAAACCTCAAGTGAATCTTTGCTTTAGTCGGTTGTTGCAGAATAATTAATTTCTTTTCTGTGGAGACAGAGCTTACGTCAACTCAGTTTAGTTAAGCGATACACTTGAATTTTTGCAAAGGTAAAGAGGCACAAATAGATATATCTGGCACGTAATCAATGTAAATTTCTTCAAGTTAAATCTATAGGCGATATCCAGTCTGACAGTCACCTAAAAATATGAGAACTTCGTTTGATTCGTTAGCTCTAAAACAAAGATGAGACGAGAAGGAAAACACTAATCCTATCGAGAAACTGAACAATGTTTTCCGGCAGAGAAAATCTTTTCGATTTCCAATTCCAATTAGGACAATCTTACGTGATTATTGAATTTATTCGATGTATTGTCAAACTGAAACATTCTAATGACTATTTACAGGAACTTCTTTGTTAAGAACAATGATCACATGTACATCTGTACAGGACTGTTACTAAACGTCTAAACGACGGAAAATCACAAGAATTTACTCGTTGTTCGTATCGTCAGAGTGTATCCTTTAACTTGGTTTCAAATCGATCGATCATATTTTATCGAAATTGTGGACCAGATGTATATCAAATCATTTAAATAATAAAATCGGTTTGGTACAAGAGAGCAGCTGAATGTTCAAGTGCAATTTATAGTTATAAGTCGAATTATTGATTGGTTCTTACTTATGATCTATTGGAGATTATATAATAACCCAAGTTATTCTCGCATTTTGATTGGTTCTTGCCTATGATCTATTAGAGGACAGACGCACGATTGACGTCATCATTACAAAGTTTTTCCCTCTGTGTTTTAAAATGGCGGACAGTTTTGAGAATTTAGATAATATTTTACATGACT